AAAATAAATGTATTTTAATGCAATACTCTAACATCTGCATAACTTTACTAACATTTTCAGGATGCATTCAAACAATAATCTTTCTTACTCTTTAAGCAATCATTATTTAGCAGGTCTTATCTATGATTTAGACAGTTATTAATGAATAAAATACACGTTTGTTTATTTTTTTTATTTTTTTGCGTGCATAATTTTACCTAATACTAAAACAATGTTGAATCCAAATGTGCTAGTTTTTAGCAAGAAACGTAGAATGTACGATCGCTGTGATGGATGATAATTTAATTTAGATCAGGGAATTCTTAATATTACTTTTACTAGCAATAAACATATATTTTATATCAAAAGCCTTCTTTCAGTTTGTAAACAATATTATATTTATTTAATTTAATAAAAAGCAAAGCAAAATCAGGAATTAGTATCACAGTAATTTAACCTAGCTAGAATGTATCGGGATAATAAATGGGTTTGTTTTAAAATCTAATCCGTCAGACTCCATAAAAAAAAGTTATAATTTCAATTCTTGTATATATACAACATTCAATAAACCTAGTGATGTTGATCTTTTTTATTTTTTTATTAAAATAGGAGATCCAACCATCTCATTGTAGCTGGAGGATTGAAATAAACCTCATATATTCTTTGCATTTGTGTACAGTAGTGTCCCATGAATTGTCATAAACTTCACTGAATTAAAATCCCTTTCCGGATTTTTTCCAGTATTTATTTCACAGTGGACGGTGGAGCTTCAATGATGTGGAGTCAACAAGCACCCTTACCCATTTTGAGAAAGAATAGTTGGTTTTTGTTTTGGTCTTTGCTTAATTATCCTGTATTTCTCTGCTTACAAGTGGTGGAATGAATTTGTCTTGGTACAGCGACCTTAAATTTATAAGATCTAAGAAAATAAAAACTAATATAGAATGTTAGACTTCTTTCTAATAACCTTTTCAGTCTCTTTTGCACAGATTTCAAATCTTTATTGAATCGATATATAAGAAAAAAAAAGTAGCCCGCCACCAGGATGCATTCAAAGTTTTAAAACACAAAATTATTATAGTGAGAGAAAATCAATCGAAAATAAGTGCAGTAATTTGATGTAATTTAAACTGTATTTATTAAATTACCAAATAAAACTGAATTTGTTTAAAAATATTATTATTATAAGTTTATTTTTTTCAGCCGGCAATCCCACTGAATACCCCACGCGAACCCATTTTAAGTAGAAACGTATGGGCTGAGAACTAGTTCTTTATTGTTTCGATTAAATGCTACTTGAGTTCAGATTCATTGTTTGATTCTTTAAATGGAAAAGGAAACGAAAACAACTAACTTTTAAATTTATATTATGTTTTTTAAAGTATTCCATTGTTCACCCTAACATATTGTTGAATATCCTTAAAACGCGATTCCTTGAAAGTATTACATTAAAATAGTATTGCCTAGTTTACAGTTGAAGATTAAATAAAAAATGCACCGAACAATGCAGATGCTTAATACAGTTGAAATAAAAAGTATTAAAAAGAAATCATTTGCATATTTTATGTAAAACAAACTTGGTTTTTCGGCACAAAGTTATTATCTTCTAAAAGATATTTTAAAAATTATTAATATAATAACATGGGATATATGTTTATAGTAATATTAATCATTTTTGTAATGCAAATTGATACTAAACTTAAACTTCGCGTGATAATATAATTAGTATTGACTTTCAATTGTATTATGGGATAGGTTCCTTCTTCGGCAGGTTCACATGACAATACTTCGCTTAAATCATCTAGAAATAATATAAGCATCATTGACAAGAACAATATTTTAAACTTCGCATGATGTATGTTTTAGGATGAATAAAATTTAACTTAGATGAGTGCCTGACCAATAAGAGCACCAGGGAAAGATGAAGAAAACATAAAAAAGATATTTACTATAAACAAAATAATTATTAAATTTCAATGTTTTAATAGGAAGTACTACTTTTTATATTTATTTTTTTTATTTTAATTCTTGTTAAAGGAATACATAAAAGGCATTAAAACAGACAAGATCAATAGTCACTAACGTCTTTATAATTTGATTTGATGAGGCCTGAGGGACAACTCTGCAGTTGTCCGAAAATGCCACATCTGCATAAACATAAAAAGTTACACCTCGATTGACCACTCTATCCACCTTATTTCGACCCCACTAGCAGGTGCGTATCTACAGTGTTTGGTTTCATGGGACATGATTCATTTTTACGCCCCCATTCCAACTCTGAGACTGATTATTTTCAACCATTAAATGCAATCAAAACGAATTTTGCCCCCCCCCAACTGTTCCCCTTAGCTACGCCTCTGGCCACTGGTAACTGGCACAGCCCCCCCCCCACCCCCGACAATTGGAAGTGCCCGAACCGGGGAAAAAGGTCTAAAAGAAACACAGTTTTTTTTATGATGAATAAGATTTTTTTTTTAAATGTAATTTAAAAAAATGCCATTGTGTTTGAAATGAACGGAAGTGTGTTGTCTATCCTTAGAAACAGTCATAGCCATCGTTTAAAAATATTTGAACACTTGAAAACATCTGAAAGTTTCAATCTTGGAGTGCTCAGTAATGCATGCGTGCATCTCCAGGCCATGATTGTAAGAATGGCCATTTGTAGGGCCGTGGCTCACATTTTAACAACACCCCCCCCCCCCAAAACCATTTCGAAGATTGCTACCTGTAGGGCCGTGGCTCACATTTTAACAACCCCCCCCCCCCCCCAAAACCATTTCGAAGATTCCTTCCTTCCGTCGCGAAAACTGAAGTTTTTCATTTCTGATCCCCATAAAACGAGACAAGAAGACTAGATTGTTTCAAATAAACTAATTCCAAAATCAAACAGTTAAAAAATGAGCTAAAATGTAGTAGAATCTCACAAGAAATGATTCATTTATATATTATATTGCACAGTCAAGTGTTAAATGTTTTTTGTAGCAGCTAGCTGTCAGTGGTACCACTCCAATTAGGGGGTAACTCTTTAAGCCATGCTGATAGTCGGTGTCAAAAATAGTGTTTCTTTTAAATCATTTAATACTTGATGGTAGTTTAGCAATTCGTGGAGAGAGGGAGGATTCGTCCTTACTATATCTATTGGCACCAACAGACGTATTCAGGGTCGGAGGTGATTCCAGCGTCTCCATACTACTTAGATTAAATTCGTTTCTGTTGTGTTCTCCTAGGGTATGCTTTTGGAATCCGCCTAGTGTCCCCTCTCTGACCATTATATTCCAAATACATCTAAACATGTAAAAAATTAATAAAACTATTTTTTTTAGTTTAATATTTATTAAACATAATTGGAACTACTAACATCGAGTTGATTTTTTTAAATAAAGAAAAAAAATTGAGACCGTCCCTTTAATTCCGTCGATAAAAGACCGTGGTTGTCGGATGCTTAACATTAATTATTTTTTTTTCAAAAGTATACACTTAAATATAAAACAACAGTAGGTTTGCTTTGTAGTGCAGATGTCCTGTAAACTTGCGGTTATAATCTTCATTGTATGTGTTGACCAGTATTAATCTTATTTTAAACACTCTATTTCTAACCATTGTTTTTGAGTTGGAAAAATGTTGTCATCAATTTATTGTTTATAATGACCGCCAAAAGGGTGCTGGTATGTCATTTTCCAGTAACACAACAGATAGGATTTACATGGAGAATAAATTAATAACACGTTTAGGTACGTTGTCTCCATATGGAATAAACCAAATCCATAGTTTTACCTAGCTACCATGTCTTTTTCATGTTTGGTTTTTATACTTTTGTCCAATTCACTTCCTTTCTACTTTTCTTCATTTGGTCTTTTCCTGTTTTTTCGCCCACACCAATTTTTTCCCCCTTTCTTAGGTAGGATATCTGTATATATATATATGTAAATGTAATAATTTCAAATGTAATAATTTCGAGAGAGTGAGGTTGACGCTGCGCAACTCTTCCTCACTTTAAAAAAAGTCACCCGCGCAAGTCATCAGTAATCCAATTATTCCGACACTGCTTTATGGATGTGAAACGTGGACTGTCTACCAGCGTCACGCCAAGAAACTGAATCATTTTCACACTACCTGCCTCAGGAAACTCCTCGAAATCAAGGGGCCAGACAAAGTCCCCGATACCGAGGTCCTCGCTAGAGCGAACCTACCTAGTATCTTCACAACTCTGATGCAGTCGCAGCTCCGTTGGATGGGACACGTACCCCGTTTGGCAGACCACGGCTCCCGAAACAAATATTATTTGGAGAATTCACGATAGGCAAGCGCTCCCAAGGAGGCCAAAGAAAGCGTTACAAAGACTCACTGAAAGTGGCACTAAAGGCCTTCAGCATAAACCCTACTCGATGGGTGCAGACAGCCCAGGACAGAGCCAGATGGAGAGCTGCTGTCAAGAAGGGGGCTAAATCCCATGAAGCTAAGAGAATAACCACAGCTGAGACACGCAGGCTTGTTCGAAAGAGCAACATTAGGTCATCGTCTGAAGCAACTATTCCATGCCCACGGTGTCATAGATTATTCCGAGCAAGGATCGGTCTAACAAGCACTCGACGGACGAACAACAACAACAACAAATGTAATAATACTTCTTTAATTGTATTTTTTGTACTGATAAAGGCATGTGCCGAAACGTATACTTTTCTAATCTGTAAAATTATTATTAAAGCTTACCTCATATTGTTATATTGACACAAATTGTTGGTGTCTAATTAATCAAGGGACGTCAATAGAATTCCAAAATAATTAAATAACTATCGATGTTACAGATTTATTTAATATTTAAAAAATACGATACATCTATTTGGTCCCCTTTTTTTTTCATTTTTAATTGGCTGTTTTGAAGATACTTACACACGTGGCAAGACCTTTTAATTTGATGCTTACTATCATTTATAATAATTTTAATCAAGATAAACAGTTGAAAAATCAGAAAAAAAAAACAAAACAGAAATACATTATACATGATAAAATTCTATTTAGGTATTTGATCAGTGAAACGAAAAGAAAATTATATATTTTAATCTTTCCCTTCTATTCATTATGAAAAATACGTTCATATAAGTGAAATGTTTCTGTGGTTTTGCTTGATATATATTTCCACTTGTCATTTCAGGAGGTGTCATATAGCCATCATTGGGATCTTCTTGATGTTGTATCTCAATGGCATTATATTGATTATGTTCTTCTTCTCTTTGGATAGTATAATCTCGAAAAGATTAAATAATAGTTATATTAAATATATATATATATATAAATTTAAAAGAAAATAAACATTTTATATAAGTGTAAAATGCTATTTTGTAAACATATTTACCATAAACTAGACATTAATAGTGATGTCTTATGATTTGTTAGAAATTCGGCGAATTTTACTTTTCATTCGCAAAAATTGTGGCAATTTTTTTGAAAAGTTTTCCCACCTTTTCCCATCATTATTCATTTTTTTTATGATACAGATAATTCTACCTAACAAATTCCCTATTTTTGAAAAATTATTTTAACATTAAAAACTAAACCAAAATTAAATCTGTCATATAATTTTGTTTTGAGATTTTGATAGCAAAAGGAACTTATTGCATTTTTATTTGTTTTTTTTATATGATTATGATGAGTTAGTAATTAGTAATTATTGCCATTTGGCTACGAAATTTCGCAGCACAAGTTGACTAAAACATGATTATTTTTTAAACTTATTTTTAAAAATTAAGTTTGTATTACTTTATCAATATAAAGAGTGTAAATTAAAAAAAAAAATTCTAGAACCTATGTAAAATTTTAAAAAATACCAAGTTATTAGTTGGTGTGTTTTATTAACATTAAAAAAAACAACAATCAATGGAATTAATTTATTTTACTTTTAAAGAGGGGACAATACAAAATTGTTTTTTAACACCCATTTCTTAAATTTTAATGAAAAAAAAAAGCTTTTTATTTGCAATTTTGAATTTTGCCCTTATGAAATTAATGTAATTTTTCTTTTTTGAGTTATATCGAAAATTTACTTGGTTTATTGTTAGAATATCTTTTGGATCAAATTAATTTTTAATTTAATTTCACAATTTTAAAAACGTACTAAAAATAAAAACGTATGATTGGGTGTGCCTAAAATTTTTTATTACGATATAATAAAAATAATTATTGGATCATAATTTACCGATCATAAAAAATATCATCATAACGTTCAAATTTTAATAAAATACCTATATAATTATTTAATTGTTATTTTAAATGCATTTGTAATATATAATTAAATGCTTAAACTTATGCTAAATTAGAAAATATATATTTTATTGTTATCAAATTTAAATTTATTCGCTTTTCGTAAAATAAATTAAAGCCCCTAACATTGTTTTAAGGAATCAGAACGTATTCTACTTTTTTTGTTGTACAAATGAATTTAAGAGTCTTTTTGTGTTCCTTAAGGCTAAAATCAAGTAATGGTTTTGAAATTAATAAAAAGCTTTTTTTTTAAAACAATTAACATATTATTTGTCATTATATTGGTTCGACAATACTTGCAACTTTATTAATTCAACAAGCATTTATGTTGTACTTTTATTAAAATAATTATTAAATGACTTCATTTTTCAAAATGCGCAGTGTTACAAATAAACTTTCAAATAATTTTTTTGAAATAATAACCATCAGTAATAATTAAAAACACTTACTTCTTTGCGTGTAACACAGTGCAGATATAACCAACCAAGATATGATGATAACAGCCGCCTCAATTATGATGATCAGCAAACTAAGATTTGCATTTTTCTCACACATATGGTTTTCTCTGAGATTTTCTGTGTTTAAATAGACATAGAAATTATTATTATACACTTACTCCTTAACAGGGGCAACAGGTTACTTTGCTTAAAAAATGGTTAACTTTGTCCCTTTGCTTTCTTCATTTTAATAATCATACATTTCATCTAAGTTTTTACTAAAAAGTCTTCTGCCCTAAGTTTCTCCCACTAAATCGTTTGGCCTAGGTACACTGGCAGCTGTAGTCACAAAACTGCAGATAGGCGTCTCGGTCACTGAAAACGAGCATCAGGAATTTCCGGCAGACCATCGAATGAGTGAGAAGCACCAAAAGCATGGGAAACAATCTAGAAATCATGTTCTTCAGTCGTCTGCTCCATCGTTCCCTATCGAGCCTACAAGAATTAAAAATGACCCTAAGTATTTGGTCGACTTTTTAAAAATCAAATGAAGCAAAACAAAACTTAAAAACAATCCTTCTGAAGTTCAGCTTTTTTAGTCTGCGCCCGCTTTAGGACAAAGACGATTTTGAAAGAACTTAGAGAAGAACATGTTTTTATAGGAATTAGCTAGGTACACTGTAGAAATTGCATCATAAACGTCATAGACCATAAACTATGGGAAATGGGGGCTCTGGATAAATTTTCTTTTGCGGTGACTGAGACATAGAGGGGCGTCATGATGCTGATTTTTTTTTTTTTAAATCTGCAATTACTGGCAAGCCTCTGGACTTTCGAAGAAAGTCAACGGTTGGATAACGACCTTTCTAAAGTGAAAGAAAACACCGCACCATTATCAGCTGCTAGGCTGCAAACCCAGATAAAGTAAAGACCAAGTTTCACCATGATCTTCACTCTGTCATAGCTTTCATTCCATGTCAGGTCAAGCTTTATTTTATTGTTCCCTTCAATTCTTGGGTATGCCACGACGTCATTGATTGGAAGGGTTCCTAGAAATGTATTTAGAGGGCCTAAAATGCGTCTATGGCATTATAAATGGTTGAGTGGTGAAACTGACGCGATCTAGGGTTATGCGGACCAACATGACCAACATATGTACACTTATCGCTTAAAGAAGTTTGTGGCACCGTTTTATGAAGATATTGCGAACTATTGTGTCCTGGTGAGAAAACTCTAATCACTGAGAGGGACAATATTATGTAATGTTGGGATGAAGATTTTGACGGCATCACAAATTTCCCGTCATCAATCAAAGATGGTATTATGAAATCTTTCGCACCTGTTCAAATCCCTCAAGAAATGGAAGACAATTCCACCCAAAATTAGAGCCAACAAGGTATGTATCTTCCCTCATGTGGCAACGCTCGAGGTTATGTCTCTATACCCACAAACATATACAAAGTAGAGTCAAAGCACTAACTGACAGGATCTACCAGATGCTCATAACTAAGCGGCAACCGCAGACTATTCCTCAAGATTTCAATAATGCATTTATTTCTTGTTTATCTGTACAAGCGTAAAGGTAACCTTTCATCTTGCGATATTTTTTGCTCTTGCAAGCAATATACAAGGTAGAATCTTGATAAACCTTCTTAATATGCATCTTGAAAACGATTTACTTCATGGAAGCAACTACGCTTTCCATAAAAAACGTGAAAATATTAATATGGTTTTTGAGGCCAGGCAGCTACATGAAAAATGCCAATTACATAATATTGACCTACTCATCACCTATTTAGAACTGACCAAGGTATTCGACACTAGAGAGAAGGTCTTTGGGCAATCCGGGTAAGTTCATTTTAATTTTACGGCATTTCCATGATAGCTAAGGTTTGGAAAAAATGGAAATACGTCTTTAACATTTACTGTGGTAAATTGCGTCAACCTTTCTGTTTCCTTACCCCAACACTTTTAAGAGCCCCCTTTTTCCCGCCACAATGTCTGATCCATGCAGAAAGGAAAATGTTTTATTTTGTTTCAAACACCTATTCGATTGTAAATTATTCAGCCTCAAGAGACTTCATGCCGAATCCAGGTTTTTGAAAGAGCATTTAGAATACCCTTAAGCGCCAAGTAAGACAGCACATGTAGATGTCCCACACATCCCCAGTTCTTACTGCACAATAATATTTCGTCCCTGAGTTTCGGTCTCATCAGCAAACTGAACACCCTTAGCAAAAGTCAGATCTACCGCGAGTACGGTAATTAAAATGTTTATGGTCGATTCAAAAGTCGAGCACTACTCGGTGATTTGAGTATAAATATGAATGTAAATAATTTAACTGATTGAAGGTGCTACTATTATTTTTTTTATCTCAAATTAATTGAATTGATCACAAACATTCTGATTTAAATATTTAACATCTTAGGTTAAAAATAGCAAAGATAAAAAAAAATTGTTTTTCTAAAATATCAAAAGAACTTTCATAATTAAAAAAAACAGGTTTAATACTCATTTTTTTAATCTTTTATTGACACCAATGTTGGTTAACTGGCATATTTATTAAGTTTTAGTTCCTACAAGACTATGTGGTGCACTAACCAAATGTTAACCATCTGTCTCTATCTTTTTCTTACATTTTAAGTTATTTAATGATAATCTCAGACAGAGACGTGTTCGCAATTATTATTCCTGAAATATATTACCTACCAAAGGCCATTGCATGATTATTATCACGGTAACTCGTTAAAGGGATAGGAATTATGAAATCTACAAGTAGATTAATCCAATTCAAATCTCAATTTTTTAAGTGTCTATCGTAGTCTTTGCCGCTGTTACTTAAAACGATCAACCAGATAAATAATTAATTTGTGCATAATAATTCATGATCAATAAATGTAATAATACAGGTATTTTCAAGCTCATCTCCTAAAAAGGGACCAACTATCACAGACATATTGTCTTTTGAATATGATTTTCAGACTGATCTCAATAATCAATAAGGAAAGAAAACAAATAGCTTGAAAATCATCAACACGTTAAAAGTTCAAGGAAACCCGGATTATCAACGCACTAAATAATATGGTCAACAATCAGTTACATTTTTATCTAAGATGTTCTAAACGTTATATTTAATTGTTCAAACTGAAGTGTCACTCATTCACATATGATCTTTTGTGTCATTAAAATTTTGCAAACCAGCTTATTTGCTAAAAATATTTTTGTAAACCTTTTAAAATCACATAAATGATATTTGCAAGAAAAGCAGTTATTTACTTGGACGTTAGATGAGGTGACTAAAATATTTATGAAAGTTTCCATCGGGGAAAATACTAAATAAAATATGCAAGTATACTTACCTGAAAAAGTTGTGCTAGCAATGAATTCATTGGTTGTAAAATAATTTGTTAAAGTTGACTCTTTTAGAGATCTATTGTTATTGTTGGGTAGATCGCAAAGACATCGAAAGTTTGATCCATTTATTAAATAATAAGGACATTGTTGATTGCCCGATACTGTGTCTTGACCTTATGTTGGTATAAATATTTTAAAAAAAATTAAAATATAAAATGCGAAGTTCTAGTTTCATTTTTACAGTAGGACATATAAACTATCTCTCACCCTTTCATTTGAATATTCTACACCTCTATTTAAAAATTATTGCTATTGTCCATTTTATATTTTATCTAATATTTTTTACATAAAGACCAGCTTAAACATCTCTTTTTTTCATTCCCTTCTATTTACAAGTTATGTCACCAAACCAAACGTAAAAAGAATTAACCAACACCAATAGCCTCTCATTTACTCAAAAATTTCCGACCCTTAACCTTCTAAATCGTCTGTACATACAACGTCCTTACTTAAGGCTTACGATATATTCTTATTAGGCGTATTTTGAAAAAAATATTTTAAATAATTGAGAAAAAAGTGAAATCAACATACTAATCAACAGACCACAGTGTTTACATTTACGGTGAAACAAGACATTTACTTACTTAAATCAATTGTAAAACACAACGTAGTTCCCATGCGTTGAATGTTGAAGATCGTATCTGTGACATCTGGATATAACGTAACAAGAACATCGTGTTTCTTTTCCTTGACTTTTGACATCGGTAAACTTAATGTGCAATTAATCGAGTAGTAAAGTTTCTTATTATAAGTTACTTCATGGATGCTGGAAGTTTCATTGTATGATTCCTGTAACGAAGGCTACAAACAGTTTTTGCCATGTAAACATACTAATTTCAATTTGAAGTATATGTGTTTTCTACTGAAATAATCATTAATTCAATTAGGTAAAGCAGAAAGCTGAGCAATTAAAATATTTTTTTTGAGATTGCGATAAACGAAAAGTGAACAATAAATATGATACGAAGTAATGGAAAAATGTGTCATGTTTTTTTTTGTGTGTTAATTTCCAAATCTCATTATAATTCAAACATGATGTTTGTATCACAAACACATCATTCTTTTTGGCAAGTACGTCAGAACTAATAGGAGTTGGATGTTTAAAATTAATAAATATTTACTAAATTTCTAAGTATTACAACAGTAGTTAAATTTTGACTACACGTATTATTGAAATTTAGTTAATCTACGTAAAGCTAGTGAGGAGAAGGAACATTCTGTAAGATGTTTCTTGTCTGAAATCTAACATATTAAATTTTATTTCAATAGATACAAATATATTTCAAAAGGTTTATAAAATGAAGTTTTGAAAAATTTAAAATAAGAAAGATGTATTAAAAATAATTTTTAAAAAAGCGTCATTTTAATGTGAAATTACTAAAAAGTAGACATATATTTTGACAAATATTTCACTCCTTACAGCAGCAAAAATCTAGGCATCCCTTTAAGTTCATGTATAACAATAACTATATTAATTAGTTAATACCAGCTTAACAGTTTTGAATGAAATGTATCGAAGAGAAGGTACAAAGCCAGCAGTCGCATAAGCAGATAATTGCCAAATATTTTGTAATAGTAAGATATATTCAACAAATATATGTAATTAAAATGTGTGCATTTACTAACTGGTGTAAATGAACTTACGTTTGTAGAAAATTTGCAAACAGGTGATGGATAAATCATGGGAGAAAATAAGTTTATGTAGAGTTCATCATTCATTATCTCAATGGAGGATGTCACATTTTTAGCTTTTGCTACGATATTGGACAAGGAATATTTCTTAATTGATGGTATTGAAACAAAAATGTATAAATAGTTTACTATTATATACTTTTTAAATGAAAATAATAATAATTGTAAAGAAAATGACTAAATGACTAAAAATGACAATTTGTCATTAATCGTATGATAATAATACACTTATATCAGAGGCGCCGCCGTTGTAAGAATCTATTCCCATTGGATTGAATAGTAGTCCTTCATGATTTGTATATAGTTTAGCGAGTTTTTCTTTCATTTTGCTACACCTATGGCTATTATGTCTAGGAATGATTATTCAATAATGATGCGTTTCAAAATATTGAGACGTCACGTAAATTTACACTCAACACAATGTTCTCATGTAATGAGTAAAGCTGTCTTACGGACCGCGCACAGGAAAGAAGTTCATTTTTGAGCACCAATAAAAAAAACTTTCATTTTAACGTTCATGATTGTCTTAGCCGACGTGTATAATCATTATTATTTTTTTTATGTGTAGGCCTATAACTCGTATAAGGTAAAACATGAACGGGGATATCCGTATCCAGATATTACCCATTGCATAACCGTCGTTTTATCCCAAATAAACAATCTTAGGAACACGTCTAACAAAAACACAGTTCCCCAATTCTTCATAGTTACCATGTACTGCCAAGAGGATAAGGAAAGCGTGTCAAACATGCGGTCATTTACACGCAGACTTGAGGCCCGCAAAAAGGTTGTCATCGTTTTACGCCAAAAATTGCAGGTTTTATAATTTAAAATTGATAGAGGCGCTGTTACGCACTGGCTTCTCTTGTGAGAAATCAATCTCCTATTTTAAATTTATGGCTCGTTCAAACAGTGCCTAACAAAGGACGATACCATAGAAAAATAAAATAACAAAAGTACGACCTCAAAACAGTTGCCTAATTACAATTAATAAGACTTAATTTAGTAATAATACAATAACAAAACAAAAGAAATATCATTACAAATCATCAACTTACAGCATGATAGATCTTGTACCGGTACACAGTTAACACAGTTAGTACAAATTGCCAATGAATAATGATGAATGATAAATTCAAATAAACACACATAAGTACACAAAGAATAATACACGTCTCGTGAAGTTAATCATATTTATCAATCTCCGTTTCTCCCTCTGTGCCTGTCAATCCCTTATATATGTGGGTCTACCGACGCATCTAGAAACGCCCTTACTTTTCTAATTCAATCGAGAACCTTCGACAAGATAGTAGTAGACCTACTAACCCTGTTTAATTGGAAGCCGGTTGTAAACAAGATTCATCAAACGAATAGGCCACGCCAAAAAAGAACGCTACCGTCTGCTAGGGATCTAATGTGGGGTGAAACAAAGTTCAAGCACGGTAAAAGTGCACTACATAACAGGGGCCTTTTTCACATAACGACAGACACACATTTGCACACACATATACACATATGCTTTTCTTTTTTTCGGAAAGTTTTTTTTTTTTCAACAATGAATACTTTATCAAAACCGCAAAACATAAAATAATGTTTAAAAAACAAAAAACTTTCCATTAAAGACGAGTTCACACATTAAAAATTAGAAAAGAATATACAATTCTTTTAATATTCATTCCACAAAGAAAGACTGTGTAGAAGTGTAGATGAGGAGTCTATGACGCCAAATGATTCAAATTGAATCTAGATGAAACTTTAATAATGTTTGTTTTTTTAAAATTTGATTTTTTAACATATTTTCTGCACAGTCTTTCTTTAACGAGCCAAACAAAATGCGCGATGTGGTTTAAATTAATTGAATCATAATGTTATTATTATTTATATACTTGTTTAATATTGGCTTCTGTTGTAACCAATCTTATGAATAAGTTGAACTGGGTACTTGAGAGAACATACGGAATGCCCTAATTCAAAAAGTTATTACAACATTTTTGATGTTAAGTGCCGGTGGCGATTCTAATCATAAAAAAAAAAAAAAAAAAATTAAAAAGAAGGAAAAAATGTATATACAAAATAAGATTTAAAAATTATTTTAAAAAAAAACAATTGTACCGAATGTCCTTAATTTGCACATTGCTTGAGATACTTGAAAAGCATAATTGAAATTGGTAATGGTGACGCCCTTGTAGTCATCAGCTCTGGTAACATTGTAAATCAGTACAATATGTGAACTATTTACAGCAGTGTTGAAGATATCATTATTGATGTTATTGCACGTCATATTCTTACATATTTGTATAGTATTAATGTAACTGACTTTAAACACATCATTAGAGTAGAGCGTTCTAAAAACTGCTGTGTAATTGTTATGTTCTTCAGCTGCTTCACAGGAGCTTATATTGATATGTTTATCTGTTGTTTTTTTTAATGAAAAAAAATAAGTTAACAAAATATACATTTAATATATATAGTTGCATATATATTTTTTTATATTTACGATAACAACACAAGTATACACTTTTGTTTACTTATTTTCGGGATAATCCAACATGAGCAATGATAGCTTTATTATGCTATTTAAGTTGTTGTTTTTTTCATTTTTAGAAAGGATAACGAAATTTAGCATCCACCATGCATTAAATAAGCATTGATTTTTAATATTTGTAAACATGAAATCCATAATCTAATATGATATTACTTACCACAATTTGTGAGATCCACATAATAAACTGAAATTATTGCCATGATAAAATACATTTTTTCAGAATTCATTTGGGCCTCAGAAATTTTTGTTAAAAATATTATTGATTTTTATTTTCTGCTTCTTTGCTATTTTTGTTGTTTTTTTCTAATGAGATCGTCACATAATTTGTATTCATTATATAAACATTTCTTTAAAACCTCTAAACTCTGGGAAATGGTATGTTCCTATTTGTATAAGAAAATAAGTGATTAAATTCTGAAGCTAGAAAGTAGAGTTCAAATATGACCACAAGTGTTTACTTTAGACTAAACATATTAAAAAAGATAGATAACGGTCGTGTGTATTTTACATCAACTAACTAGCACTCTTAAAAACTGACGATTGACATCTAATTGATGTTTTTATCTTACGATAAAAATAATGCATAACAATTTGATCGAATTACAGATAAATATTAAAATACGCTTTTAAATAAATAACCTTTTTTCTTTTCTGACATACATACTACAATCACCTTTCACATGTCGTGCCATCATGTAGCCTATATAAACATCTCAAATTTATAAATTTGAAATTTACTGAGATAATATATATCCGGCATCGGATTGTTTAACGAGTTGTTCATAAATCAAAAGGGCCAGGCAAAAGTGCAATTAGGTTGCACACTTTCAGTGGAGGGAGAGAGGGAGGGGTGGGCACGTTACACTTGGTCTTGTTAGTCGTACTCCTTGAACGGCACAGCTATCACAGTTTCAAGCAAAACTCTTTTGTCTTTGAAGTTGAGGGCCTAATTATTTAAATTGGTGAAATTGAATTATTTGCTTGGTGCAACAGTTCTCACACTGATGTGAAATAATGATCCCTAGAAATAAAACAGCCTACTACCGTGGAACTGATTGTAAAGAAGAACATTGGATTTATGACATTAAACCAAAAAACCAGCATCTAAGTCAACTGTAAGAAAGTAAGCCTGGTTACTCATTCATTGTTGTAAGGCTCAACGCTACTGAAAGGAAGTAACAATGAAAGAAAAGGCTAGTGTTATTGCCAATTACAAACATACAAAGTAGATATGAAACGATTAAAAATTGTATATTTTGTAAAGGATTTTTAATAATGTATACTATTTTTATATTTGTTAAATATATTTTTTATATAAACAAGCAGTTATGCAATTGAATTGTATTATTAACGTTTAAATATAATATATAAATTTCAGGTCAAATATTAATTACTCATACATACTTTAATATTATGTTTAGTATACTTTTAAAGGTAGAATTAAATAAATAATTCATGAAAGTACGTTCTTTTTGTGAGAAAATTCCTAAAAATAGATGGGTTTCTAGAAATAATGACTAACAATATAGAATTTTAGATAGATTTTATCATCAATTAAAAATTATTTTAATATAAAAACAACATGGAAATACTTCGTGACAGTGTGATATTATCTGATGAATCCAGGGTCAAAGACGGTAGCGTTTTCTTAATGGTCCAGTGATTTCATTTTTTCGACCTTTGATACCGACAAAATAATTCACGCCTTTGTTCATCAGGATTTCCGTAGGGAAATGTGTCGTCAAGGGGTGATGAACACTGGCTATCATAGCGAAAGACGCCATTCAAAATCTTCTGATAAAATTAAATCAACGTGTATTACTAATAAGTTTCAGTTATTATTCGTGTGAAAGGGAAGACAATGCGTCACTGACCCGGGGGACAATAGTCCGGGCTCCGACTCATAAGTTATCTCTTTAAATTTTTTACTTTTTATTTTATTTTTATTTTTTTTTTTTTGGAATCCTGTGTTAATAGTTCCAACTTCAAAGAAATATAATGTATAATAATTTATTTTAAACGGCAAAATATAGTGGAGTCAGCGTCTAAGGGCCGCGTTTTAAGATTGAAGTATTTTGACGACGTCGAAAAGACAAGAAATTTTTTTTTTTTTTTTTTTTTTTTTTTTTACAAATTTATAAAAATACACAACTAGGTCAAGGGACATTCACGTTATCCTCATCATCTCTCTCCACTTAAGTGTAGGATGATGTAATACTAAATTGGCGTATGCGTTAAATTAGATATCTGCGTTTTATATTTATCCAAAAAAAAATTGGGGGAGGGGCTCAGTGTGCCCCTCACCAAGCTCCTCATCAAATTTTGCAAGACAGCATTCAGTGCCCCCATTTCTCAATCGAGTGGTACTTAAACTTCATCTAAACCACCACCCCCGTAAAACAAGGCTGACCACTCCAAGTGGCGTAGAATTTTTGAGGGGGGAGGGGGGTAAGTTAACGCACCTTGTGGAACTACTATTGTTCTCTGTGTCACAGTTTGCGGCATTTGGGGTCAAGTCAAAAATAGAATATTTTAATTCCTTTTCTTTTCTGTCTAAAGGGTGAATAACTTAACTAAGTTTGACAGGACGCGCCACTAGTTGGAATTACTGTGGGAAAAAAACAACAAAAAGAACAAAGTTAAACAAATAATAAAAACAATTACTATGTTTATTAAAAAAAGAACTTTAAAAAAATCAGATCTTAGTATAAATTAATTCACCCATTTAATGGTCATTTAATGATATCGGTATATGTTCATCTATGTTATCTGTATCATACAAGTCGTTTCTTAATTCCACAATTGAAATTTAAAGATTTTTTTTTAATAATAAAATCATCTTACAATCTAAACCTTGCATTTTTATCTTCTTTCTTAAAGTTTAAAAAAAGGAGTTTTGCCACGTTTTTAACGGCTTATAAGTAATTAAAAATTACCGGTGCAGTTTTGTAAAATGAGCTGTTTATTTTACTTTGAAAGTAATCAAAAGCATGTTTTAAAAAAGTCAAGTTTTTCCCATACTTATTTTTTTGTGTTGAAAATCACATTCAAACAAATAAATTATATGAAGTGCTATTTAATTTCTTTCCATAAATAACTCTCCTATTTATGCTGAAACAAATTGACAACAGAAAAACAAAATAGTGTTCTTTAGTTTCTCGAGACATAGTTTTGAGTAACTTAAAACCTTAATACAATGACTAGCGTAGGCCGCGTCTGTAATCAAGTAGTCTTTTCCCATTAAAGACCTTTGGTGTAAATGTCACTCGTGTAAAAATGATTTCAATAGACTACTTCCCTCTAATATAGTACATTCTGAAGTTATTGTTCCTACCATTTGATATAACTAAAATGTTCACTGGCTTCACTCACTAATGGGCTCTTTTCCTAAAGGAATTTCTTATTTTAATATTGTTTCATAAAAATTTCACTTGCGATAATTTACACGCACTTTTTTAAAGATTTATTTTTTTATATTATAATTTTCATGCATTTTAAATTTAAAAAACAAAAATAAATTTTAATGTCTTTTTCCTTATTTGTAGTCGATCTTACCTAATTGCATACTTCTTCGCTATAATTAATATTATTTGTTTATATTTTTTACAGGCAAACCTAAAGTTTGATTTCATTTAATTTTATTTCATCAAATTGTATTTATTAAGACGAAACAAATCTGAAAATATCTAAAATTATCATATTCATCAGTTTATCGTTTAAGCCGGCGACTCCACGGAATACGTTAATCGACGCCATTTGAAGTCGAATCTTATGAGTTGAGAACTCTATGAGTTATGAGTACATTCGACTTCGGTCCAGCTTCAGTTTTTCATAATTGAATGGCAACAACAGAGAAAAACAAAAAAAAATCTTAAATATATAGGCCCCTACTCATCATTTAAAAAAACTACAACTCATTTTTCAACTTCCCAAAACATATCGTTGAACATCTTTAAAACACGATTCCTTAAAAAAATAAAAATAAAACATAACTGCCAAGTTTAAAGTTTATTTTAAAGAGAAATAGAAAACATTCACCTGAATAATCCAGTTGCTCACACATTTGAAATAACATATTATTATGTTGTATACTTTTTCATAAAAGAACATGATTTCTTGAATGAGAGAAATTATTAAGTTCAAGACATATTTTTTTAATACTGATAATATTATCATACATGAAACGTAAACATTAGCTCATTGAATGTCTCATATTGATGATACACATTTATAGAATCTTAATCTGTCCTTGTATGTGGGATCATTGCTTCATTATTCTCATCAATTGGTGTGATTTAGTGATCTGCATCATTGGCACTATGTTCATCATCATCATGATCATCATTATCATGTCTCTTAGTTCTTGGACCGTTGGGGCGCCACAGATGACATGTGACCTATACTCCTCCATTCGTCTCTGTCTTCAGAACTTCGCACAACATCGCCCAGTGTTAGTACTGTCTACTCTTTGATGTTGTCCTCCCATCTTTTTCTTTGTTTTCCTCTTCCTCTCCCTCTTCTTGTGGTGCCCTTCAACATTTCTTTGGCAAGCCCTTGTTTCCTTGTTACGAAGCCGTACCATTGTAATTTGTGTTTTTTCACAGTCATCAGTAGGTCATCGTACTCCCAACTGCCTAGCTAACCCTTTCTTTCACTTTATCATTGGAGATATGATCCGTATAGCACTATGTTGGTGTAGCTCAATTGTATTGTTTGAAGTGGTCGTCTTTCTATTACTAAAAAAAGGAACTTCTGAGTACAAATCATGTAAAATTTAAAAAAAAACGTTAATTAAAAATAAATTGGTCCCATTGCTTGCATTAAAAAAGATCTCTTGATTGGTCTATGTTGGTGTTCTGCAACAAAGACTATGTTCATCAATGATTAAAAAAAATATTTTTTTAACAATAAAAAAATAACTGTAAAAGTTATTTTTGGAAATGATTTTTAAATAATATTTTATACTATAATTATTGTTGTTGTTGAGCCTTCTCGTCCATGAGGGGCATCCACCGATCATCGTCGGCGTCTGCGGTTCGTCCAAGGGCATAGGCCACCTACGAGAGACCTCCAGGCATCTCTATCCTGGGCCAGATTCTCCAGGATCTTCCATTCATGGCCAATTTTCTTGATGTCTGTCTCCAATTCTCGGCGCCAAGTGTTTCTTAGACGGCCTCTTTTCCGCTTACCCTGTGGGTTC